CGACCTATCTTTAGACTTTTCAGCCTTTGCTGGCACATTTCTGCTCAAATACGAATGTGATGAGCATTATTTAAGAAATTTCCATAGTTTCCTTGAAAAAATTTTTTTCCTCTTTACCACTTTGCCAGATTGAGAGCACGAGGGCAAGGTCAAGACATCGAGAAATATTTCTTGTTCCCCATTTCTTCTCAAGTAACTCAAATTTAAAATTATATTCTATTTTATACTAGGCTTAGTGTTATTATTTTCAAATTATTTTTAAAATAAGAGCTGTATTCAGCCTAGGTCTCATTTGCTGATGAAGGACTGATGGTTCAATTTTCGTACATAGAATTTCACTTTGCCCTGCTTCCAGAAAGATATTCTTATTTAGTTTTTCTATCTCACCTGGATCTTATCAGCACACCGAACGGGGATCAATCAGGGTAGTGGAGCGCAACAATGCCACGAGTGCCAGTAAGTAGGTGTGAATTCAAAGGCAAACCAGGCCAGGCCAGGCCAGGCTAAGTAAAATTCAATTGCATTATGAGGCAAAGTCATGTCGACCATCAGTCGTCATTCCTCTTGTGCGGCCCTGGGTGAATACACCCCTTATTCAAGATCTACTTGTAGTTTCGGAGCCTGTTCAATCCGGATACAAATAATTTTTAAGCCTCTTCAATGTATTATCTAATGGTCTCTACCAGGTAAGCTCACACTCCTAATCATCATTTATTTTACAATGTAAACCTTTAATTTCTAAATATCATTGTAAAATAAAGCAGAAGTAGAACCAGTTTGTGTTGCTTTATATATACATTCCTATCCAACATATCATCTGATAACTAAAACATCAAAAACTGGTAGTTTATTATCATTTTTTATTCGCCTTACGCACTTAATATTACTATCCAATCAGTTAATTAAGGAGAAGAAATCATCTTTTGTACTATGCTTCCGACTAGCAAAATAATCTCCCATATATCTATCAGTTTAACCTGAAGTAAGTGCTATTCATGGATAATTAAGGTAGCCTTAAGATTAAGCTTTTGCAGAGCTACCCTAGACGCTGAATTCTTGAGCTTAGATAGCTTCCATGACTTGCCGAAACGTGATAAATAGCCATTTTCCTTTTACTTTACACATCTTTATGCTTTTTTACCGAATTTTAATGTAAACCACTTTCTTAACTTTCTGTTTACGAATCATGAAATCGTATGCAAAA